ATACCTACTACGAGCCCTTCGGAGCACACTGGACCTGTAGGATGCTACGACTAGCTAAGGACGAGTCAACCGCCTTCGCTGCCCTAAAATGATGGGTACATCCCCGTAGAACAGGGGAGGTGACAACCGCATTATGGGAGGCGCTCAAGGAGCAACCCGAGACTGCCGGAGAAGCGAGGGACAAGTGGGGATGGATGGAGGATCTCAAAAAACCTCCCATGTACATACGAGGGGGGAAGGGGTGTAACATATCAATCAAAGTACAGCTGGAGACATTAGACAACCACGAGACGCATTCCCTGAAGGCATTGGTAGACAGTGGAGCTACCAGCAGTTCTATAGACCGAGCCTGGGCCCAAAGTCATGCTCTTAGTCTAAAGAAGATGGCCCGACCTGTTCCAGTTTACAATGCCGATGGCACCCGAAACAAAGGCAGTGATATCACCGAGTACGCTGAGGTACGATTACGAATCGGGGATCACGTGGAGTGGATTGAATTAGCTGTGGTCGATCTAGGCACTACCCCCCTATTCCTAGGACATGATTGGCTGCAGAGACACAACCCGCTAATCGATTGGGACACCGGGGCCGTTACCTTGGCCCGCTGTGCTTGTTGCAAAATCCCCTTCTCCCTACCGGACATGGATCCCTCATCCAGGTGGGAGGAGTATGAGGAAGGGGACACAATCCTAGTCGTAGACTTCGAAGAGGCATTCCACGTCCGAGCAATGGGTACTAAGGCTAATGAGTTGGCCGCCCAAGCCAACGCTCGTAAGACCGTGAAGTCCTTTGAAGAAATAGTACCCGAAGAGTATAGGGACTTCGAAGATGTCTTTGCCAAAGAGAACTTCGACGAACTACCCCCGCGAAAGCCGTGGGACCACGCCATCGAGCTAGTCCCCAATGCCAATGCTAACCTAGACTGTAAGGTCTATCCTCTCAATCCAGTGGAGCAAGAAGAGTTGGACAAGTTCCTCGACGAAAATCTCTCCACCGGTCGCATACAGGCGTCGAAGTCCCCCATGGCCTCGCCATTCTTCTTTGTCAAGAAAAAGAACGGGAAACTCCGTCCGGTCCAGGACTATCGAAAGCTCAATGAGATGACCATCAAGAATCGATACCCGTTGCCGCTCATCGGAGAACTTATGGACCGGCTGAAGAAAGCCAAATACTTCACCAAACTAGACGTGCAGTGGGGGTACAATAACATCAGGATAAAACAAGGGGATGAGTGGAAGGCCGCCTTTCGAACTAACCGCGGTCTCTATGAACCCTTGGTGATGTTTTTTGGGCTCACGAATTCGCCAGCCACTTTCCAGTGGATGATGAACGACATTTTCAAAGACCTCATAACCGCCGGAGAAGTGTCGGTCTACCTCGATGATATACTGATCGCATCCAAAACCAAGGAGGACCATAGGCACATAGTGCGCAAAGTACTCAAGATTCTTCACGATAATAAATTATTCCTGAAAGCGGAGAAGTGCGAGTTTGAAGTGGAGGAAACGGAGTACTTGGGCGTGCTCCTCAGTGAGGGGAAGATCCGCATGGATCCCGTAAAGATCACAGGACTCCTGGATTGGCCGGTACCATCCAAGAAACAGGAGCTACAGTCGTTCCTGGGCTTTTGCAACTTCTACCGACAATTCATCTGCGACTATAGCAAGCAAGTTAAACCCCTCACTGTTCTCATGGGGAAGGTAGAGTGGAAATGGGGAGAGGCCCAAGAAAAGGCGTTCGAGAAGCTCAAAGAGTTGTTCCATGAGGATGTGGTCTTAACCATCCCGCTAGATGAAGGAAAATTCCGAGTTGAAGCGGACTCCAGTGAGGGAGCAATTGGAGCGGTCTTGTCCCAATGGCAAGAGGGGAAGTGGCGACCAGTGGCCTTTCTTTCCAAGGCCTTATCGGTTACCGAACGAAACTACGAAATCTACGACAAGGAACTCCTTGCCATCATGATCGCGCTAGAAGAGTGGTGCCAATACCTCATGGGCGCACAAGAGGATTTCGAAATCTGGACGGACCATTCTAACCTCCAGTACTTCCGAAAGCCCCAGAAACTCAATCGACGACAAGCTCAATGGGTGACTGAGTTGGCGGAGTACCAGTTCACCCTACACCACAAACCAGGGGCCCAAAATCGCAAAGCAGACTTACTGTTGAGGCGGGCAGACCATAACCAAGGGAAGGATGACAACAAGGATGTGACGGTCCTGAAGCCCGCACACTTCCGAGCCCTGATCATGCCCACCACAGAAGAACTACATGAGAAGGTTAAACTGGCCACTCATGACCCGCGCAAGTGGGATCGAGGCATTTCTGACTCCCTAAATCATGAAAAGGGGGTCTCCCGAGATCAGGAACTGCTGTGGTATGATGGACGTATCTATATTCCCAAGGATAAACCACTATGAGGGGAAATTATAGCGTCACAACATGACCACGCAACGGCAGGACACCCAGGGATTGAAAAAATGAAAGAGCTCATTCTACGAGACTACTGGTGGCCTCGGATGCGCCGTGATGTGGAAACGTACATAAAGGGGTGTGAAGTCTGCCAACGGACCAAGGCAGACCGCCGTCCCAAAAAAGCGCCCTTCCATCCAAACGAAATACCGGACCGCCCGTGGACTCACATATCGGTTGACATGATCACCAAACTCCCTAATTCGAAGGGGTTTGACTCTATCCTCGTAATCGTCGACCACTTCTCCAAAACGATTATCCCCATCGTGTGCACTGAGGAGCTTACCTCAATAGGTTTTGCCAAGATCCTAAGGGATTACGTCTACGTACCCTATGGGGTAATGCCCGAGAAAGTTATCTCGGACCGGGGCGCTATCTTTGTATCGAAATTCATGGCAGAATTTTACAAACTCATACAGATCAAAGGAAATTCATCTACAGCCTACCACCCTCAGATGGACGGACAGACAGAGCAGGTCAATCAGGAGATAGAGAAGTACCTCAAGATGTTCGTTAACTACCGACAGGATGATTGGAGCAAGTGGCTGCCGTTGGCGGCCTTCACCCACAACAACCGGAGACATTCAGCTACGGGGTACTCCCCCTACAAAGTAGTCTTTGGGAGGGATGGACAAGTCATCAAGACCGCCCAACGGCCGGATAACATTCCGGCCGCATCCAAATTGGTAGAAGGGATCCAAGAAGTCCAAGAAAAAACCAGAGAGTCCTTAGAGCGGGCGGCGGAGTCGATGAAGAGAGCCTATGACAAGCACAAAGGGAAAGCCATCGAGTACGAAGTTGGCGACAGGGTATGGTTGGATTCCACCAACCTAAATCTTCCTCGACCCACAAAGAAACTGGGCGATCGACGCGTAGGACCCTTCACTATCTTAGCAAAGAAAGGCGCCTCCGCCTACGAACTCAAACTCCCCGCAGCCTGGAAAATTCACAACCGATTCAATGAATCCCTCCTAACTCCGTACCACGCTCCCGAGTTTCCTAACCAACCGTATCCGGAGAGGCCACCTCCCGAATTAATCGATGACGAGGAAGAATATGAAATCGAAGAAATAGTAGGGGAGCGAAACAAAGTTATCGGCCGAGGACGTACTCGACGCACCATAACCGAGTACTTGGTAAAGTGGAAAGGATACCCAGCGGAAGAAAATTCCTGGGTAAAACGTTCGGATATGGCCAATGCCGAGGAACTAGTCAACAACTACGAGGCGTGTATTCAAAAAATCACGTGGAGGGTAAACGACAAGGGGAAAATGGTTGGGGCCGATGACAAGATACCGCCAAATACTCTCTATCAATACCACGACCCAGACACCCCTTGCCTTACGGAAATCCTCACAGTACCGTCCTCTCAGTGCATGGCTTCACGACATTCGGAGAGAGTCAACGCAATAGGAGAAGTAGGAAAAATTGAAATCGACGCCTTGCAAAGGGAGGACCGGCCGTACATAAACCCTTCCATTCTGCTCGATCCCCCATCTGATGACGAGACCGATGTGGACTTACTCCAGAAAGTTACAGAGAACTGGAATGACGAGGACCGCACATCAGATGTTTGGGCATACGAGAGCGATCAGGAGGATTCTGTTCACTCATTCGGGACGAATGAGTCTTAAGAGGGGGGTAATGTTACGGTTTATTCATTTTCTTCGTTTTACTCAGCTTGATTACTCGCATGCAATCCCTACGGATCATTTCTCACAGTACTATTATTAGCGTATCCACTTGTATTTAAGTAGAGCCTCAGCTGGTCTAAACCCCAGCTTCGGCTAAGGTTTAATCTACCCAACTCGAACTCCGTCCTTCGTGACTATCTGCCCGCAATCCACTTTGACATCACCTTTGACTTACTAGAGTATCTACCACCGAAGTGCGAGTGGTGATCCTAGTTCGATCTAAGTCGATTATTAGTTGGTTGTTAACACTAGATACAGCTGAGGCTTCATCAAATGTAAAAGACCTCTTGAAACAATTGGAGGAACAACTGCTGGGCTGGGTGCAGAAGGTGATTATATCAGTGCCCTATCCTAAGACCTCTCTAATACTTTTGTGAAGGGACCATTTCCAAATCATTCTAGCCATTTAGAATATCTTATCAACGAGCTTGCAGAACCAGATGCTGACCGTTCAAGCCAGTTCATACCACCTCCATGAAACAATGAAAGGGACAATTACCTCGACATCTACTTCAGTTTCGTATTGAACACTGCAGATTTGTTGCAGACCAGCATTAGGCATGAAACCCCAGAATCAATCTATTCTCATATCCTGTTCTTCATCAGTTACATCTTGGGGAAGATTTGGCGAGATAATATCATGGTGTAAGAAAAGCCCATCGAGATTTTGGATGGATTAACTAACAATTTACTCTAGTGAGAATATCAAAATTACTGTGCCCAAACACCCAGTGCATGGTTTTAACCCTCTGATGAAGTATACCTCCAAGACTATCATAGCGCCCTGCCTCTTGTTGCATCGTGCTATCAGGGAGGACAGTTCCAATTCAGGCAAAGACCATGAGTCAGATGTCGATGTTGATAGCAACTCCAAGGGATCAGAGTATTCGGTTTCAGACCTCAGTCCAGTTTCAGAAGTCTCAAGGAGTTCAAAGGCATAGCAGTGACCAGCACGACTTTGACAATAGTGCTTCTGAATCATCTGAAACACCGGTATCCAACCACTGGACTGCCTCGGAATTCTGTCAAGGATTTCAGAATCATAATTCGGAATCTGAATCTGCAGAATGGTGCAGTCAAGGCTCCGGTGACAAATCCAGCACAGCACCTCTTGATGAGGATGTAACAGCAAAGCTAGATCCAGTATGTAAGTTAGATCTGTATCTCATTGATGGTTCCATCCTACCTGATACGACACGCGCTTCTGTCTTACTATCATTGCTGTGTGTGGGCACTCCTGATACAATCTGGGGCATGCTGGCAAGCACCCTCTATCAATGACATGTATGGAAAATGAAGCATCCTGCTATGGGTATTATCATTGCTCCGGCCCAGTCAAAGATACAGTTGGTCATTGCCTGGCTTGATAAATCGGACATCTGGAATGATTTGGTGTGTCAGTTGAATGCCACTTTTTAACCTTCTTGTATCTCTAACTATGCTTTCAGCCCTCCGTTCATGCTGTGTGCATCGCTACATTGAACCATCCATCTGGGGTTTTTGACCTTCAAAATCTGTTTGATTCCCTCTCCTTCATCCTTATCTTATTCAGACTATGCTCCTACTTCCATGAATTGCAATCAACATATGATGCCAAATTCATTGCTTATCAACATGGTTTTCATGAAGTCAATGCTCTTGAATGGCAATCTGATCATGCTCCTAACGCAATCCCTGCATGTAGGCTTTTTGTGAACATTTTTGATAAAGTCAGCTTGTGGCTTAAGGTTGTCAACCATGCAAGGTAAGGTGTTCTATAGCAGCACTACAATGGGCCTTTTTTGCTCAAACTGATCTGTAGACAACCAGAACTGAAATTAGATTCATCAAATTCCCTGTCACCTGAGAGATTACAAAGCATTGTCAACAGACATTTGGGACCTGATTTAAGGGATAGCCACTCTGAGGAAGGACCTTTTATGTATGTACCTTCTTCTGCTGTACCATGCACTGAAGCAAATTGCTTAAAGCCTAACTCCACACCTGGAGCAGAGATCACCAGTTGCAACTAATGGTGTACACTTCAAATCAACATCTATCAGTAGACGTAACATCAATGGATCGAGAAGGTGAATACATGCACCTGATACATATAAGAGAAGTACAGCCTCACTTAGACTTGCCCCACAATTTTCCCCAGCATGACAGGGTGAGTGCTTTGTCATCCTCTCAATTTTGTTACTTTTCCCTGACAGAATTACAAGGCACAAGAAAAAAAACAATAATCTTAAAGCTGGGTAAATTAGAGTCATTGTTTCTGGGTTCTGCCACTCAGCCTACACTCTTATCATTCAAGGGGGTTCTCTCGGAAAGGTGGCTCATTTGTACCTTTCCCTTTCCTATTACACTCTATGCTCAATTTTGTTCAGAGCTGCAAGTCAACCCGCAACAACCTCTGAAGGGTATGTCCTTCCTGTAGCCTTGTTGGAATTGTCTGGATGATTTCTTGGACCTTCAGAGCCTCTTCATGGCAAATCAAAAAACATTGCTATGTCAAAGAGCAAACAAGCACTGAAGCAGGCCTTCTACCAATTGCTTTGGGAGAGAGGTTTGTGCATAGTATATCACTACAATGGCCTATTCATTGATATATCTGTTCCAGACTGCTAATGGTGCCACTGTGAGAGCTTTGTTAGTCATCTTGACATCTCTAAAACTTTGCCTTTGCCTCCCCCAAGTAGTGAAGGCGTTCCAGGAGACAGTGATGATGACTTATCCAAGTCCAATGTTAGATCCAAGAGATACTTGGCCAGCAGGTGGGTTCTCTTGTGCTTGTTCAACCCCAAGACATTTCAAGTTGATGGTTTTCTCAGCTTTGCCACTGCCCACCATAGAACTGGCGAGACTACAGATGGATGCATCTATTCATGGATGTATTGGAGGGGTATCAAACTGGATATCTATCCATCTGACATTTGCAAACAAAATCAGGTTACACAGATGTACAAGTGGTACACTGATCTGTACCAATCACCAACACTCTTTACGGTGTGTACATGTGCTTGGGAATATTACTAGTACTTATTTTGACGACTGGTGACTCAGTTTAACAGAGAGCACAATCCTCCATTCCAGCAGTGCAGGCAAAGCTTGACGTCTTAAAAATGAATCTAGACTCAGGTTGGATGCGCTTCCAAAGCAGCGACATTCTTCCTGATCCCATTGGCATATACCTCAAACAGAAGATGGAGTTGATTCTGACAGCATCTCAGAAAGCCTGAGATATGAAAGCGAGTGTGCAAAGGGAAAATATCCCTGAAGCTGAAGCACAGTCTACCTGGGACATGCTGCTGGGCATTGCTTCTGATATCCATCAAGATGGTGATATACATTTTCAGTGTGTCTGTCTGAACTCAATTCTCATTTTTACTAATATAACATTTCAATACAGCCTTGAGTGAATGATCAAGCTCCCTCGGAATGACGAGTACAGCACTTTCCCAGAGGTGGTCGAGGACTTGAGAATTAGATGCTCAACCTGGACAACTGATACCCTCAAGTTTGCTCGGCATGCACGTGAAGTTGGTGGTGAAGAGGGTTCATGGCTCTCTGCTATTGCACATGCCTCCATCATGTTTTTGGATAACACTCATGTCTGTTTACTGACTCCAAATTTGGCTCCCAAAGAACCCAAGCAGGCCAAATGTGACAGCCTAGTCACACTTACATGCCGCATTTTCCCCAAAGCCACAATGACCACCACACAATGGTCTCATCTCAAGAAGTTCTCTCTTGTCACTCAGCCTACTCATGAGAAAACAGCAATTGTCGACCGGACCCCCATCTCATCTGCAGACAAAGATGATTACCAGGATGCATTCAACAAGAATGCCATCATCATGACTGTTACGGTTTACTCATTTCTTTTCTTTTTCTTTCCTTTTTCCTTCGTATTACTCAGCCTGATTACTCATATGCGATCATGACGGATGCATTCTCACAGTACTATTTTTAGTTTACCAACGTGTATTTAAGTAGAGCCTCAGCTGGTCTAAACCCCAGCTTCGGCTAAGGTTTAATCTACCTGACATCGAACTCTGTCCTTCATGACTATCTGTCCCATCGACTTTCGTCGCCTTTGACTTGCTAGAGCGTCTCCTACCGAAGTGCGAGTAGGGATCCTAGTACGATCTAAGTCGATTAGAGTTAGTGGCTAACATTTAGCCGAAGCTCGACCTTTGTTGCCCAACAACGCACTGTTGCTCAACATACTTCCCATTCATCTTCTAATTGTCGTAGCACTCTGCGTGCTACGATTTCTACTCAACGATCCTCTCAGACTGGTCATAATAACCATCCTCCAAGTCTTCCTCATCTGCGTATACATCCCAGCACCACTGTTCACAGGACTAGTCCTGCTGTTCTGGGTCGGGTTTTTACGCCACTACTAAAGACCACGCACCTTTTCACCCTCCTCTTCTGACTCGTATCCTTGTTAACAATTTTATTGTTAACATTAACAAGCACCTCCGACACTACCGAAATCTTGTTGATGAACGGTTCCAACTACGAAACCGACCTTAGCTTGATTATCGCCATTCTCATTGTACTCACCATCCTCGCTGTCTATCAGCTTGTATGGTCAATTGTCGACTTACACCAAGGATAGATCCAATCACGGATGCCCTGGTCCAACGCCATTCCCGCCGTCTTTGCGACTTTTATACTCTTTTTCTTGTCCATTACTTTGTACCGGCTACACCGCTGTTTCCGACAACAGAGGCGAGTCCGTGCACAACTCCCATTTCATTACGTCCCCAGCACTCCTGCATACCCTCCTCCAGTGATCCACATTCCCATGGCATCCCAACAGACGATACAAGATGTCGAATCCAACATCTCCGGGGGGTCTGGAGGATCCCTCTACGGATCGTCGCGACTCAGCTCGCGATCCTCAGAGTCGAGCATCAACTCCTACAGAAGCGCTACCAGCGAATCAGCCAACTCAGTCGACATCACCGATACCCGGGGCATATTCCTCGACCGAGGAGACTCGCCCGTACCAGGTCTCTTCAACCAGTCTCCAGTCCAAGGCGAGTCAGGTACCGACCGAGGCCGAGGACAAGACACCAGGCCTCTGGACGAGGGCGAAGAAAGCCCTGACACCGAGTACGAAGGTGACGACCTCACCGAGTGGGAGAGGACCAGACTCGACGACCTCCTCAGTGACCTCTACCCGAACGAGGAGGAAGATGCGACCCATACCGGAGACAACTACGGTGGAAGGTCAGAAACAAGGTGGACAGATGACATATGGAAGAGTGAGAGCAGGAGATACCGAGTCGCCCAGGAGGACGACTACGGCAGTGATTCCGGAGAGCTTGCCCTTGGGGCCTCCGCCGCGACTACCTCCCGTTCAGATGGAGCAGGACCCGTTCTTCCTAACTGGCCGACAGACCGGGGACCCCCAATCGGCTGGCACCCCAGCACCAGCTGGGTCTACGCCGAGCCAAGGGAAGAGGCTCCTATGGCCCGAGAGTCGCCCCCGCAGAGCCTCCTTGTCCCCGAGCGTCCAGAGACCTCAATGCCCACTACCACCGTCACCAGGCCTGAACCGACGGATCAGCAGCTCTGGGAGGAGTTCCCAGACTACGACTCCGAGGAACTTGGAGCAATTGCCGGGGCCGGGGACCTCGCCCCCATCCCCTTTACTCCGTCGGTCTCGGGGCGAGCATTCGCCGACCCCGTCCCTGTCCTCCAGTGTCCATGGACGCTTCTCTACCACACGCTCATCGAGTCGCTCAACCTCCCTCAAGATGCCCGGGAGTCCCCAGAAGTCGAGGCCCGAATGGACTGAGCAAGAGTGGCAGACCTACGCACTCGAAGAGCCGAGATCGCCACCCTCATCGGGCCCAACGGCTTCCATGACCTCCCCGTCGAGCCAGACGCCACTTGCGCCGAAATCGAGAATCGACAATGAGCCGCTGCCCTCCGATACACAGGGCTCGCCGAGCAGGCGGGAACTGACCTCGAGGCCAGACGAAGAGCCTGGCAAGCTTACGAGTCCGAAATCAGTGACCCCGACTCCGACATCGGGAGGTGGAAGCAGAACAAGGAGATCGACAGAATCGCCCGAGAGAGGGAGGAGGCCAAGGATGCCGAGTCGACCCCCAAACAGTTCCCTCGAGGTCGAGGTAATGGGGGCGGTTCGAACGGTTCTGGTCGATCCCGCGGCTCCAGTTCCAACAATCTTTAATATCTTACCATGGCATGGGCTATACGAAATAATGATGGAAGACATGGAGAAGGATTCACAGTGGCTCCTCACGGAGGCAGGGGAGGACTACCTATATGCAAAATCCATGGGGGACGTTTACCTCATGAAAAATATCTTGGAGGTAGAGACGTGGCATAGGGCCGCCGTTGTATGGAATCAGGTACATCCCGACGCCAAACAACGAGGCTGTGAGCCCTATCGTCGACCCCAACCGATGCCCAACCCGCTCGAGACCGAAGCGTTCTGGGCTGGGGCAGGGCCCGATGATGACGATATGGACGACCCCGGTGCTGGACCCTCAGACAAGGGGAAGCAGTCCACAGTCCTGACTCAGCTGCCGCCTCAGCCTCCATCCAGACCAGCATACCTGGGTGGTTATCCACCGCCCGGGGAGAACTATCGACTACGGTCGCTACCGCGACTGCCGAACCCTCCAGTACCACCCAGAGCACCCTCGCCCCCGGACCCCATTCCGCCATGGACACTAGCAACGGGGAAGGACAATAACCCGTGGAACGACGTGAAACCCAAACTTATCACGCAGCCCGAATACTTCATGGGGGAATCCATGGATATCAATCGATTCCTTCACCACTGTGAAATGTATTTTCAGGTTTTCCCATTACACTTCACCATGAATGACCAAGGCCAGAACCCCTACCGCATAACGTTCGCCCAGGGGTATCTACGGGACAAAGCCAAGGAGTGGTGGGGCGACCAATACTATCGATACCGAGATGACCAGGGGCATTGGAGATTCCCCACTTGGGCGGAATTCTCCCATGACCTCACGATAGAATTCCGAGAAGTAGCGGAGCTCGCGATCTGGAAATCGGAATGGAAGAAGGTCCGGCAGGCAGAATTCAAGTCAGCGGTCGAGTTCTTTGCGAAGTTCGAGAGGTTGGCCCATAAGTGCGGAGAATTCGGCGACGAGAAGCAGATGTTTGAAGCAGTGGAAGCGGCAATCAGGCCGATGGTGCGCAAGACGGTTATGCATGGGGACAACGAGCGCCCCACAACCTATGCACAGTGGAAGGCGCGAGTCCTTAGGATCGATGCCAACTACCGATACGACGTGGCTCAGGGCCTAGCTAGTAAGTCCTCCTCGAACCCAAGTGGTTCGGGTCGAGGCAACCAAAATCAATCGAAGGGACAGGGGTCCAGTGGTGATAAGAAGGACGCCATGGGGACCACGTATGGAGGCGCAGGACAGCCGATGGAAATCGACAAGCTCCGGTCCGATAAGCGGTGCTTCAAGTGTGGGAATACCAGGTGGAGCCGAGACCATAAATGTCCGACGGACAAGTCCAAATGGCTCCCCATCAAACTCCCACCTCGCAAAAAGCCCAACATCGCCCACCTCCGCCAATTACTCGCTGAAGCCGAAAAGGTGGAGGAGTTAGGAAAGGATATGAAGGTCGAGGAAGTGAAGGAGGAAAAGTCATCAAAAGACGAGCCGGCGTCGAAATAAGCGATTCGACGATGTCGGCAAAGGACTTAGTTTCATTGGGTGCATGCTCATGTACTTCTAGTCGGACTCATGCTACGTATGTAGGTACTCCGTACGATCAATATACCAATTTTTTCGCCACGTTACCTGTTGAACAAATTAAGGATGAAGAATCACAAAACGCCAAAGGTGTAGGAGGGGATTTCCGCCGTCCTACGCAGTCAGCAATGGACAATGAACCCCTAGGGGCTGGTCCACCTCTAACACCCCCGCCTGACCGAACGGGGAAAGTTCTGGAGCACCCAGCGAGCGCCTCAGGTCAGGACAAGATGGACACCAGACGTGGTGGTCGTCGCCCCGGCAGGGAGAATCGGCCGACGACTCTGACGGGTGGGCCTTCCCTACAGGTTGTTCCTCCCATCAGTGGTGGAAAAGCAGCTGAGGCTGGGAATCGAGGGGACCACCTACATTTAGTAGTGGACTCATCCGCAAACGATGCCGACCCCCTCGAGGAGCCAATATGTGTGCGTCTGCCTCGAGTTTCCGAGAGTACC